TCATATATATGGTCAAAAACCCACTTTTATACATATATATGAAAAATTCACCTTATTTTGCAAATAAGATTTCACTCGAAATGGAAGTAAGCTCAACATCTACTCTTGGCTAAATGGTTTTGACTAGTGAATAGATTTGTTTGAGACACTGTCAATTGGGATATATTGATAATTTAATTTAAATTATTAGTCGCAAACGAACTATTCCTACGTAAAATATAATTCGATCATTACACCATATGGTCACAGGGCAGATGAAACGTTCAAGGTAAGTAGGCCATCATATCTCCTATTACATATTTATAGGTTGTCAATAAAGCAAACTTGTATTTTTTATTTTATGCGACGAAGTTACCTATTTTCAAAGTAAGTATGTTTCGAAAATATTATTTATTTTTGCATTAGAATTAGGTCACATTGTAGTTGCTCAAGGGGGTTTAAGGACACAATGATATTAGCAGCCCTTAAATTACCTTAAGTGATCTATGGAGACCAAATTCATAATCAAGAATTAATGATATTTTCGAAACATAATGTTTTCAAATATTTTACTAAAATCTTTCCACCCCTTAATGTTGTCCATCACAGGATACGTGAAAATTCACCTGGTTCCAAGGACAGTGAGCTGAAGACGAATTCAATATCGATTTCGCTTCAGTTCCCGTTGGGACCAATTTACAAAGTACTTCTACCCAGCTTGTCATACACATTCACTGGTCCAGTGGGCTTGCCACACTCCATATGATCTATGCTGACCTGTGTTAGCATATAAAAAATATATGAATTATTTAGTTCCCTACTCAGTCTGTCTATAGCAAAGCTCAATGCCAAATATGAGTTCGCCTTGTGGACAGCATTTTTCATGTGGATTGAAAGAGGACCCACTTGCTTTGTGGGTCACATCTACATTGTGTTACTCATACTTTTGATATGGTTTGATTATCTCACATCGGTATTGAGCCAAGTTGGGGCACTTAAGCCTTTCGGGAGGCATGGCTGAGTGAAATTCAATCACATGAAGTGTTAGCAACCAAACGATCCAGGCTTCCTTAACCTGTGGCAACTTACGCTTCGAAACTTATTGAGCTGCTAAAAATCATTCCTTTCGACTAACCTGGACTGGCTCATAATCACCAGTTTTAGCAAAGGAAGTGCTCTATTTTGCACTTTATGACTTTTAGGCTTAAGCTGGTGCGTCATGTGATACACTGGTTTGAATTGAGCCAATAAAGCATATTTCTAAGCGGTCGCTTTCTGTGTATGCGATTTAGATATAGAAATGGTAGCTGAAGCATTAGAAACGATTTATTAACTTCAAATGATAAGCATTTCTTTCAGTGATAACCCATCCATTCTAGACGGACTGTAAAAAAGGCTATTCCAGTCTAAAACTTTGCTGCTTATTCATGGCAGCAGGAGATTGGACCAAATAAGATAGCATTTGCAAAATGTATAGGGAAATATTTCCTACAAATGCATACATACATACATATATATTTACATATATATACGCATACATGCATGCGTGTGAGTGAGAAGGTGTACATTTGTAAGGATGAAAGGAGAAAAAGAGAGAGGGAGAGTACGAGCAAAGCAAGTGAGTATAGTAATTTGTTCATGTGCGATTTGTGTCGACAGTGCTAGCAGTCGGAGACTTCGATTCCAGCCAATCGGCAAGATGTATCCAATGCCCAATTACCTTGACTACAAAACCGAGGGTGACAGGGCATGTTGCCGTCGGCCAATCAATACATGGCAAAAGCCCGGCGGCTGAAGAGGCTCGCCAATGGGAGAACTGAATCGTGTAGTCTGGACGCATGGAAGCGGAAACTAGGCAAAAGAGAGTGGAAATGCTTGGACGAGACGAAGGAGAGACGAGAAGATCGGAGGTGAGGGAGGCAAGGCTGGTGGACTATGGACACTGTTCGGTACCGTTGGCGTGAGTGTTAGGGGGAAGACGAGAGAAGACAGCCACATGCCGTGGTTGTATATTCGTTTCTGCCGGCGAGCCAAACAGGAAAATGGATAGCTAGCGCAGGCCATCCAACAATCTGGCGTTAAAATCACGGCCCGAGAGGCGACTAATAAAAGACTGGACGGAAGGAAGGCGGTCGAACAGGAAGAGAGGAAGGAAGAGCAACGACTTCTTTCCCCTGGAAGCCAATTCAGCCACCGTTTCAGCTTGGCCGATCCACGCAACAGCACGCTCAGTTGAACGAATTCCTGTTTTCATAATAATAGCCCACGAATTCAATCACACAGTAGAAGGGCACTAGTCGCTGCGAGATCGAGCCCTCGCACGAACCCTATCTGCCTACACTCCGTCTTTCGACTTATCACTAGTCCCGCCGGAATGAAGTGAGAAGTTGCCGTGCATGCAATAGAATGAAACAGGAGGATTATCACCGAACTGCCTGTCCCTTCGGCAACTTTATGTCGTTTTTTCAAAGTAAGTGTTTCAGAAAAATTCACTTTATTTCTTATTTACTCGGACTATAAGGTGACAATATGTCTAGGTGGAGATATAAATAGAATTAACTAAATTGGAAATTAGTCTGAACTCACAACTTCACAACTTGGTTGTGTTGTCAGGGCGACTTCTAAGAAGGCCTATAGTCTGGCTTCCTCTACTAGAGTAGTCATGCTTATTTCGGGCATCGGACTGTAGACTTGGTGCATTCCCAGACGCTTCGCTGATGCAGCCGGCCAGTCTTGCCAGGGATAACTTTCTGCTGAAAAGTTAGTTATGTATAGTTGCCTTAATCTATCCTGGTACAGCCAGCTATCCCACAGAGTTGTATAATAGTTCTTGAGATTCTATCCTACTCGCAAGCTTATAAGAGAAATAAGCATGATAAATATTCAGAGATCACTGGACGAAACATATACATTTGGGTCGCTCTAACGGCGTGAAGAATAGGCGAAAACGAGATTAAGCAAATTTTATTTGGCAAAAGTACACAGTGACCAAGCTTGAGGCCTTGCCACATTAGTCTTCGGGTTGAAATTTCTTCATTTATCTTCAATTAAAATAAAATGAGACTTACAATTTCTTGAAGGTAGTACTATTTACATGAATATTTCTGGGCTAAATTTATTAGGAGCGTAACTTTAAATTAGGCTGTACTTCACATCAGAATGCTTCTGTTTACGCTTATGACTCTTGTGTTTCATAATTGTTGAGCTTACCTTCATTTCGAGTGAAAGTGTTTGGTGAAGAGATACAAAGTTCGATTCATTCAGAAGACGACACCGGATTCCTCTTGACATGCAGTTGATTGGCTTTACTGGAACATTCCTACTAACGCTGTTTCCGAGGTAATCTACTTCGATTCGGGTAAAAACGTGATAAGCATTCGTCCGTCATATGACGATCATCATTAGAGCAAGGCATCATCATTAAAACCAAATTCAAGCTAACGAGTCAAGTTATGTTCAAATGGTAGTAAGCAACTCAATTATATCTAGCTGTGGGCAAATTATAAATTTCGTGTGATCATTCAATGAGTTTATTTACCTCAAAAGTTTTAAAGATTTTCATAGTCCTGGCACCAGAAGTCAAGTAAGTTAACAGATTCTGGGAGTATTTACATGCAAGTCGCACAGCTTAAAAAAATCCCTCTCCAACGTAAATGCCTAATTTTATTTACGAGTATACTGGAATCATAACAGAAACACCTGTCGTGAGCTTCTCACAGAGTAGACAAATCATATGGCATAATTTTCTCTGAAAATCTCTAAACCATATTCGATAGTATCGAAATAATAGTGTCGATAAAAAATTAATTTTGTAAATATTAAAACCAAACTAGTGTGATCTTTGGTTTAGTCATAGTCTCGGTTTACCCTATAGACTTAATATTATCTTATTTATCATTTACAAGTAGGCTTTCGAGACTACCAGCAGATCGTATATATGAGATTTACTCATCCTATTTCATTTAAGGCAATAAGATAACTGGTAGTTGAATATTTGCACTTTGATATGAGTAGCACTTACGTTTCAATAGAATTTCACAAAAAATGGTATTCTCATCCAGGATAGACTGTCATTTCGACCTCACACAAGT